TCTCTGTCTCTCTGTCTGTCTGGCGAGTGCACACGCCCTATAGCAAAAACCTCTTAAAAAAAAAAAAAAAAAAAAAAAAAAAAAAAAAAATAAAACCCTCAATGGTAAACTGAGCACAGACAGGGTTGGATAGGTACAAGATCTTCAAGTAGAAGTTGCTGACAGGTGCAAAGAATCAAATCATGGTGGGCCACAGGAAGGATTTTCAAATTCATTCTAAGTGTGATGGAAATCCATTGGCAGGTGACATGGTGTACATTATACAAACACAGTTCTGGTTATTTTGTGAAAAATGACGTGTAGGAAAGCAAGGTATGGTGAGTCAAGTAAAAGACTGTAAACTAGGATGATAGCAGAAAAATGGGAAATACTGGATGTGAGCCAACAGAATTTGAGTTTTCTTGTTCCTATAGTAGCAAAAAAAAAAAAAAAGAAAAGAAAAGAAAAGAAAAAAGAAAAAGAAGGGGATAGAGATATAAGAAATTGGGCTGATTTTCCATTACTTGCATGATATATCCCTGTATGACTGAAGCTATAAATTACTGCTATTAGTTTTAATTCACTTATTCTAAGCTTCTTTCATATGAAAATAAAGAACATAAAACTGCACAATCTCCTTAGATAATAACACAGCTTGAAAATAATAATTGGTTCAAAATAGAAGTAATACTTTGTCAGGGGCATCCTATTTTATAAGCTACATTTACTTGGGGCACATATCAATCTACTCAGATATTATTTCTAAATACTGTTATTTCTAGGCCTTGCTTTAAAGATTCCAGCCTTGAAATGCTGATTAGAAGAACTTTTATGCACACAGTACTCATAGTTTTTCCTCCAACCTTTCTTTAATGCTTTCCTTAAAAATTACTATATTTAGGGACAAGCAGTTAGTGTAATGGCTATGTTGCTGAACTCCCATGTAGTCGACTGCGGTTCGAGTACCAGACCTGGTGGCTTAAACTCACTCTGGGCATGTGTGCGTGTGTGCCCAAGATCCCGAGAAGAGAATGGAGAAGGGATTTTGGTGGGGCCACCCCCCTAGGGGGTGATTTCTCACGTTCTATCTCTCTGTCTCTCTCTGTCTTTTTGGCGAAAAATTTTGTTTCAAAAAACCCTCCAAAAAAAAAAATTAAAAAAAAAAAAAAAAAAACAAGAAGAAGCTGCACTTACTCTGTCTTAGGGATAACCATACAGATTTTTGGACTGATTTTATATCTTCTGAAATTGCATTTGAGTCATCTCTCTCACTTAGTATTATTTTTTAGGTTTTTGCCAGAGGGAGTATGCACTCCCCAAAGAGAATGAGTGAGAGTGAAAGTGAGAAATCACCCCCAGGAAGCTAGCCAGGCTGCAATCTCTTCTCTTGTATCTCCTTTCGAGATTTTGGGCAGGCACACACAGGCATCTGGCATGATTTTCAAGCCACTAGGTCCAGGTCTCAAACTGCAGTCAGCCACATGGGATTCTAGCACCTTAACCACCACGCCACCTGCTGGCTTTTTCTCTCATTTCTTGTCTCCTGGAGTCATTGATCAGTTTGCACGTGCCTTTGCTGCACCTGCTGAAAGCACCCAGCCCAGGGCTGTGGGCAAGTAAACGGATGTCTGCAATACATACAACACCTGGGTCACTCCGCCAGGCCTATGGATTCAACATCAGGTATGTAATAACAACAGGCACAGCATGACCTTTAATTTCTTAAAAATTAGCGTAATAATAAGCTAGCAATATCATAATTTCAGTATTACAGGAATGCATACTTTTATCTGAAACAATCTTTCATTCCAAACTTAATACTGAGATTACTAACCGTGAGAGAGAGAAGTTAAGTTCCATATTAGGTGGACTCTGTTTTAACTCTGGCAAAACTACAAAATGATCTCATTTCTCAGATTTCCAATGGTTTCATTGGACACAAGTTCTCACATTAAAAAAAAAAAATTCTGTCTTTATTTCATCAAAATTCAGGAACACTGATGTATTTGACCTTTATGTTGAAAGTAT